TATGCATAGATAGATAGATAGATAGATAGATAGATAGATAGATAGATAGATAGATGTATAGATATAGATAGATAGATAGATAGATAGATAGATAGATAGATAGATAGATATAGAGATGCATAGATAGATATAGAAATATAAATAGATAGAGGCATAGATGGGTAGATAGAAAGATAGATAGATAGATAGATAGATAGATAGATAGATAGATAGATAGATAGATAGATAGATGCATAGATAGATAGATGATGGATAGATAGATAGATATAGATGCATTGATAGATAGATTGTGATAGAGATAGATAGATGATAGATGATAGATGCATAGAAGATAGATAGATAGATAGATAAACAGAGATGCATAGAGAGAGAGAGATGCATAGATAGATAGATAGATAGATAGATAGATAGATAGATAGATAGACAGACAGACAGACAGACAGACAGACAGACAGACAGATAAGCAGGCAGGCAGGCAGGCCAGGCAGGCCGCGAGTTTGACAGCCCTGCTCTAAGCTCAGTTTTTTTTTAGCTGAGGCAACAGTTTTAGAAAAAGCATTACATAAACTATAGTGGCGTGTTTCTAAATAAGTCAGAATTCAGTAGTAACAAAATTTCTGCAGGAAATACAGTTTAATCCTTGCAACCTGAACAGATTATGTGAGAGATCATGCTAATTTCATTATTTCTATTGCTAGACGTTGGTATGGGCCACCGTTTTATTGGGCAGTGAAATATTGCCATAGAAATGTTGGAAGACTTATTCAGCAATTCCTCAGGATAAACTTCTCAGCATGAATTGACCAGTCTTAAATATGCACTTGTACCTCTAAGGCAGGGGTCTGCAACTTTAAACACTCAGAGCCATTTGGACCCGTTTCACACAGAAAAAAAAACCACCAGGAGCCACAAAACCTGGGTGGGCATGGGCAACTTAACATCACTCCCACCCAGTCACATGACCCCCAGCCACGCCTACCCAGCCAGTCATTAGGGCAGAGAACCGATTATTAATGTTAAAAACACCTAAAACCACAAAACACTTTTCTCTTTCTCTCTCCTTCCCCCTCTATCTTCCCCTCTCCCCCTCTGTACCTGTGTCTCTCTCCCCATCCCCCCTCTCCATCCTCTCTCTGTATCTGTCTCTCTCACCCTCTATCTTCTCCTATGTTTCCCTCTCTCTCCCTCCACGCCCCCGTATCTCTTTCTCTCTCTCTCAGTCTCTTGTGGAATCCCATCAAGTGGTCATGGAACCTCAGGTTCTGTGCAACCTGATTTGAAAAACCCTGCCCTTGTTTGCATTCCTGCTCTAGTAATGCTAATTGAAAATCTAACTATATTGCTCTGACCATGGTAGGTAGGTAGGGAGAGAGACAGAGACAGAAAGAGGGGGAGACCAGCTGATGGGTGAGCATCTTTGACAAGGGCGCTCCGGCTTTCTCCAAGCCTGACCCCCGGGGTGGACGTGCAAGCTTCGGCGGGGCCAGTCCTCTTTTCTCGCTGCCCTGAGCTTCTTAAAGCTGCGGCTGGGCACTGCGGGCCCATCCCACTTTCTGTTGTCCCCTCCTCCTGGATCCCATTCCCACCCCTCCAGCCCTCATGTTAGCGAGGCCTGTGTCTGTTGCAGCCAGGTCGGGCCAGTGTCTCGGGGCGGAGAGCAGGTTATGCATTTCCCCAAGCAACTGAGGCACGCCCAGCACCAACAAGGTCCAGAAGAAGTTCCAGCAAGAGTGAGGCACCAGAGAATCAACCCCAGCCACTTCTCCATCCCCCACCGTCACTCCTATCTTCTCAGGCCAGGCGAAGAGTGAGGGAGGGGAGGGCGAGAGGTGGGGCCAGCCAGTGATGGGACAGGGAGCTGCAGCAGAGGGCCCAAAGAGCCGCATGCAGTTCTGGAGCCACGGGTTGCCGACACCCGCTCTAAGGGGAAGAAATAGCTTTGTGGAAAGGAATTGAATAAAAATGAAGATTTTTTTGAAAGATTATAGATCCAGAGTACCATGTACTGGCATTTCAATCTGCTCAAGGTTACCAAAAGCTCAGCCTCCTGCACTTTAAACCAATGGAACTGATGCCTGTGCAACATCATCTACAAATACAACACAGTATTGACCTAAGGAATACAAGCTATTTGCACCCAAACATAGTCCCACAAAAACACCATCTGAGAAATCTGTAGTCACAGATTTGCCAATTTTTACATTACATAAACAGTGTGCAGAATTCTTCTGGCAGAACTCAAAAATGATAGCCTAGTTAAAAATAACAACTTCCATCTTCTGTTCTTAAGATGCAACCAGCATTACACTTGTACAGGCAGCTCTCCTTTAATGATCATTTATTCAGCGACCAAAGTTGCTCATGATACTTACACCTGGTTCTCACAATTGCAGCCCTTAGAGCAACCACATGATCATGTGATCATGATCCAGGTGCTTGGTGCCTGGCTTGCAATTATGACATTGCAACATCCTATGGTAACATGATTGCCATTTGCAATCTTCACTGCCAGCTTCTGAGTCAATGGGGAACCCAGCAGGAAGTTGCAAATGGTGATCACTTGATGTTGCACTTAATGCCAGCTAACAGAAGTCCCAAAACTAAGTGGCAGTCATGTAACATTGCATTTTACAGCATTTAGCGACAAATTCTGATCCCAATAACTATCATTAAATAAGGATTACCAGTACGTTTCTGATAGGTTTTGATACTGTCAGCATCTTTGTTGATAAATTTCCCTTTGAAAAGCATGTGAAATCATCTCAGTTTACAATCAGGGATTTAAAATTGAGGAAGTTGCCCCAATGACACCAGGGAATTGGGAAAAAAAAATTTTAATTATGAGAGACAACATTAGATAAACAGTTGTCCATACACACAACGTAGAAGAAAGGAAAATACAACAAAAACAGGCCTACTGTTTTGACAGCAAAACTTCTTTTAGCAAAAAAAAAATCTGAAACATCACAGAGAAAGGAGGGAGGGGAAATATGGGATAAGAGACAACATTTTGACTACAAAGTAACCATTATTGGAAAACCAGTGGGGGCATGGGTGGGTGGGCAGATGGCAGGTTTAGAAAAGGAAGGAACCGGGAAAAATGGAGGGGGGGGGGAATACAGGTTTTGACCATAAAATATAAACAGCCTATGCTGCTAAAGGAGCTTCTCTGGCCAGCGAGTTGCCTCCACAAAACCCCCTCAAGGCTGGTTCAAGGGCTGGGCTACCAGAAGTCTCGGCGATGATAGGAGTCAGGATCGCAGTACTTGGTCACAACAACCCGGTTTGCAAACTTGCGTCCAGTGAGGCCTTGCATGGCCTTCTGACAGTCAAAGACAGATGTGAACTCCACAAATATCTAGAAGAGTGAGGGGACAAAAGAGAAGATAATTAGTGGTACATTTTTTAAAAATGACAATTAAAGGATTCAAATCTGGCCCAGATCACACATATAAGAGTGTGACTGGGAAAATAAACTGAAGCAACTGTACTTCCATTGTAATTTGATTCTCATGAAATGTTTCTTCCATGCATCTAGTCTTAATTTACTTACCATACTAAATTTGTAGATAGCTGCCTTTATGAACTGATCACCACCTTACTATTCTTAAAGCTACCCAGTTTTACGCTGGCTGATTTAAAAGACAACACCTAGATAATCCTTAACAACTAAGTGGGTTCTGATGTGCTTCGTACATGCATCTAAGATCACCAGGGAATACCAGTGTGCAAATATCTGTGAAGATCCCATATAACTGATGAAACATCTTGTTTTTCCTCAAATCAGTCCAGTTTTTTTCAAAATAAAAACAATTTTTGATACCCAATCTGCAACCAAATGGCTTACTTAACAAAAAACCCACTGCCTTTTCAATTTACTTTTATAGAGATGAGTTACCAGAAGTTTCTGCAAAGGCAAAAAACATAAAGCCATTCTTGGACACTAAGCCACACTTTTAATGAAATCCTAATTTGGATTCCCATGATTCAACCTCTTCATTCCGTAGTAGGTAGGTTTGTACTTTAGAGGAGAGCCATCTGATTGAGCCCTTCTATGTCCCATGTATACCTTCGAGCTCATGGAGCCAAATAAGAACAGAAGCATTCTTTATAAGAGCAATAGCTTTATTTTGCCCTAAAACACCGTCCCCATCCTGCTACCCCGCCACCCCTACAACCATTAAGTACCTTTCCACAGCCAGGCACCTCAACTCCATCAACAGGCCGGGGGATTTCAATGGATTTGACAACACCATACTTGCTACACTCATCGCGGACATCCTCAACAATCTCTTCATATTCCTCATCATCCAGGAGCTCCTCAGGTAATACCATATTCATGAGGCACAACACTTCAGTTGGATGACCGCCCATCTGTACTTGTGAACTCATTAGACCAGGTACCTGCAGGGTCACTGGGGTCTGGTTTATTGTACTCTGGAGGGGCAGCAAGAGAGGAGAGAGAAAGCTACAGAGGAATTCGGTGATACAATCATTTAAACTGTCATTTCCAAACACACACAAAAATTCTGTATTTTTTCATAACAAGCTTTGATTTTATTTTCTGGAAGAATTCAGAGTATGTTTCTTCAATCTCAAACATACCAAACAGCTCCTATTAATACTATTTTAAAACCATGTCCCAAAACCTGAAACTCTGGAAAGTGTTACTTCTGTCAACAAAATAGCCAGTTTATTATGTTTCTTATGACTGGCAGAAATAAACAAAGCAGGAACAATAATTTCCGATTCTCAAAAATGTAATAACTTTTGGATATACTGTAATTCTTTGGGTACTGGCACTAGTTACTTTGGGAACTGGTTACAGATTAACAGAGTTGGAAGGGACCTTGTACTGTAGATCATCTAGTCCAACTCCACCCGCCCAAGCAGGAAACCCTACACCATTTCTGACAAATGTCAGGTCAATTTCTTCTTAAGAGCCTCCAGTGATGAAGCTCCCACAACTTCCAAAGGCAAGCTGTTCCACTGGTTGATTGTTCTGTCAGAAAATTTCTCCTTATTTCTAGGTTGAATCTCTCCTTGATCAGTTTCCATCCATTGTTCCTTGACTGGCCTTCAGGTGCCTTGGAAAATAGCTTGACCCCTTCCTCTCTGTGGCAGCCCCTCAAATATTGGAAGACTGCTATCGTGTCTCCCCTGGTCCTTCTCTTCACTAGACTAGCCATGTCCAGTTCCTGTAACTGTTCTTCATGTTTTAGTTTCCAGTCCCCTAATCATCCTGGTTGCTCCTCTCTGTACTTTTCCTAGAGTCTCAACATATTTTTATAGTGTGATGACCAAAACTGGAGGCAGTACTATAGGTGTGATCTTACTAAGGCTTTATAGAATGGTATTAGAACCTCACTTGATCTTGATTGTATCCCTATGTTAAGGCAATTTAGGATTGTGTTGGCTCTTTTGGCTGCCACCGCACACTACTGGCTCATATTTAACTGGTTGTCCACTAAGACTCCAAGATTCCTCTCACAGTTACTGCTATTAAGCCTGGTTTCACCCAGTCTATATGTGTACTTTTGGTTTTTCTTGCCTAAGTGTAAGACTTTACTTTTCTCTACATTGAATTTCATTTTGTTAGATATGGCCCAGTGTTCTAGTTTGTCAAGATCCACCTGGATCTTGAGCCTATCTTCTAGGGTGTTAGCTATTCCTGCCAGCTTAGTATCATCTGCAAATTTGGTAAGTTCCCCTTCTATTCACTCATCTAAGTCGTTTATGAAGATATTGAAGAGTACTGGGCCTAAGACGGAACCTTGTGGAACCCCACTGCTTACTTCCCTCCATGTCCGTAGACCCATTAAGGACTACTCGTTGAGTATGGTTTCTCAGCCAGTTATGAATCCATCTGGTGGTGGTGCTATGTATCCCACTTTTTTCTTGCTTACCAAGAAGTAGGTTGTGGTCTACTTTGTCGAATGCCTTGCTGAAGTCTAAGTATATTATGTCCACAATATTTTGCTGGTCTACTAATTTAGTCACTATGTTCAAGAATGAAATAAGATTGGTTTGGCATGATCTGTTTTTAACAAACCCATGCTGACTGCTAGTTATTACTTTACTCATTTCTAGATGTTGGCAGATCTGTTTTTTTTATTATCTTTTCCAGTATCTTCCTGGGTATTGATGTTAGGCTAATTGGTCTGTAGTTTCCTGGGTCTGCTTTTTTCCCCATTTTTGAAGATGGGAACCACAACAGCTCTTTTCCAGTCCTCTGGTAGTTCCCCGGTGCTCCAGGATTTTTGAAAGATGTGGTACAATGATTCTGAGATGACATCTGCTAGTTCCTTTAGAACCCTGGGATGTTATCCGTCAGATCCTGGTGATTTGTATTCATCAAGATCAGACAGGTGTTCTCTTACTATTTTTTTCTTATTTTAACTTTTGTTTCTAGTCTGTCTTTTACAATTATGTTTTTGGTAGGTTGGGCTATAGTTTCTTTTTGCGTGAAGACCGATGCAAAGAATGAGTTAAGCAACACTGCTTTCTCTCTGTTACCTGTTACTTCCTTGCTGTCTTCTCTCTCTTTATTAAAAGTTGTTTATTTTGTTTAAGTACAAACAATTCATCTTCCATTTAACAGTGTGTCATCTGGGTACAGATATCTTGTGCAACAATAATAAAAATTGGTACCATATTCATTACATTGCTATTAGTTCTCCATTGTTATCTTATTAATATACGTATCTCTTACACTATAACAATAACATGTTTAGATCTTCACTTATTATTAGTCTATATATATCTATCATTATAACAATCCTCTTCTTACCATGTTTATTTCTATTAAGATATTTTCCTTATTTCACTAATCTATTATATATTTCTAGCTTTCATGTTTTTTCTCTAACCATCGATAAAATAGTTCCCATATCTTATAATATTCAGATTGCTCGTTCTCTTTAATTGCAAGTGTTAATCTGTTCATTTCTGCACATTCTAATATTTTCCTAATCACATTTTCATCAGTAGGAATCTCTTCACTTTTCCAGCTTTGAGCAAATACAATTCTAGCTGCACTTAGTACATAAATAATCAAATATACATTCTCTTTACTATAAATTTCAGGTAAGATCCCCAACAGGAATATTTCAGGTTTTTTAATCAATATATTGTTGTATCATCTTTTCCAACCATGTGTGTATTTTTGTCCAGTATTTTTGGCTTCTACACATGTCCACCACATATGATAATTTGGTATTTCCTGATATTTCCAAAATTTAGCTGATTTATCTTTACACATCCTTGCCAACCTCGCTGGTGCAAAATGCCATCTATAAAACATCTTATACAAATTTTCTTTATATGCGGTTGACATTGTTAACTTATAATTCCTATCCCATAGTTTCTGCCATTTATCTAGTTCTATTGTATAGCCATAGTTCTTTGCCCATGCTATCATTGTCTCCTTCACTTGTTCCTCTTCCAATTTAATGCCTAACAGATAACTATACAGCTTTTTTATCAATCTTTCTTCTGTTCCTGTTAGTATCTTATCTAGTTCTGTCAGTTCATGAAAGCCATATAATTTAGCATCTTTTTCATATCTAGATTGTATTTGCACATATGAATACCAAACCATGTCAATCCCTTGCTCACCCAATTCTTGTTTAGTTTTGAGTTCACCCTTTTCATTCAAAATATCTTTATATCTAACAGTGTTTCCCAGGTTAAAAATATTTGGATGAATAAGTGCTTCCATTGTCGAAAGCCAGACTGGTATTTTCAAATAATGCTGTTCTCTGATTTTCTCCCATACAATAAGGCATTTCTTTTCTTTTTTTTTTTTAAATATAGTTTATTAATTTTTACAATTAAAACCAGTCACAATACATACACAGATAAGCAAAAGAAAGAAAAAGAAAGAAAGAAAGAAGAGAGAAGAGGAAGAGAGGGAAAGAATTTTGAGAAAGGAAAGAAAGAAAGAGGTTACAGGATAAAAAGTATTCTTATTTTAACAGTTTGCAAGATCTTCTTTTGTTTTCATCACCTTAACTTGTGTCATATAACCACACCTGTTTTTAACTTATATCGCTACCTCATTATTATGTATTGATACTTTTCTTTTATGCCTTATGATATATAATTTATCTTTGGTCAATCCAATTATACCAACAATTCTAGCTATCGTAATATAGTGAAGTGTCTTTGTTTTTTAGCGCCAAAGTCAATTTATCCATTTCTGCGCATTTTGAGATTTTTTCAATAATCATTTCTTCTGATGGAATTTGATGTTTTTTCCAGTGTTGAGCGAAGGCTAATCTGGCCGCTGTTAAAATGTGTATTGTTATGTATTTGGTTTTTTTGGAAATTTGCTTATCAAAAATCCCTAGTAGGAAGGACTCTGGTTTGTATTCAATCTGCTCTTTGGTGATTTCTTCCAACCAAGTTTTGATTTTCTTCCAATACTTTTGGGTTTCTGCACAAGACCACCACATATGGAAAAAGGTTCCTTCTTTTTTCCTACACTTCCAGCAATGCGGACTCATGTTGGGGTGCATCTTCGCTAACCTCGAAGGGGGGAGATGCCATCTATAAAACATTTTATAAAGATTTTCCTTGTATGCTGCCGATTTGGTAATCTTATTGTTTCTGCCCCAAACTTTCTCCCATTCCGCTAATGTGATGCTGCGCCCTACGTTCTTACTCCAAGCAATCATATTTCCTTTTACAATTTCTTCTTCTAGTTCTGTTTCTAATAAGTAGTTATAAAATTTTGTTATGTTTTTTTTATTTGATCCTAATAAAATTTTATCTAACTGTTGCAGTTTGTTATTAATTCCGAATTCTTTTTTGTCTTGTTTATATCTGCTTTGAATCTGAAGGTAAACCCATTGATCAATTTTATGTCCTTGCTCCTGAAGATCCAGCCTCGGTTTCAAATTTCCTTGTGAGTCTAATAAGTCTTTGTATTTAATCATTTTGGTAAGCTCCAAATTGTTTGGGTGAATCATTGCCTCCATTGTTGAAATCCATACTGGTACTTTTGTATAATGTTTTTTCCTTATTTTCCTCCAAATTGTAGTGCGTCTCTAATTAAATGTCTATGGAAATATTTTTGACTGGTTTTCCCTACGTCCCATAGAAAAGCGTGCCACCCCCTTTGTAAATCATGGCCTTCTAGAAATAGTATTCTTTTATTGGTTAAATTCACCCAATCCTTCAACCAAACTAATGAGGTGGCCATATGGTATAACTCCCAGTTTGGAAATGCTAACCCTCCCCTGCTCTTCATATCCTGCATTGCTTTTACATTTATTCTGGGTTTTTTCCCTTGCCAAATAAATTTCAGGGTTGTTCTATTGAGTTCTTCAAAAAACTTTTTATGTAATTTAATTGGGATCGTTTGGAATAGGTACAAGAATTTAGGGAGAATGTTCATTTTAATAGTAGCAATTCGGCCTAGTAGTGAAATTTGAAGTTTCCCCCAC